CTTGCGCTTCCTCTGCTTGCGCTTCCTCTGCTTGTGCTTTCTCTGCTTGTGCTTCCTCTGCTTGCGCTTCTCTGCTTCTGCTTCCTCTGCTTGTGCTTCTGCTTGTGCTTCCTCTGCTTGCGCTTCCTCTGCTTGCGCTTCCTCTGCTTGCGCTTCTCTGCTTGCGCTTCCTCTGCTTGTGCTTCCTCTGCTTGGCTTCCTCTGCTTGTGCTTCTCTGCTTGTGCTTCCTCTGCTTGTGCTTCCTGCTTGTGCTTCCTCTGCTTGCGCTTCCTCTGCTTGCGCTTCCTCTGCTTGCGCTTCCTCTGCTTGCTCTTCTTTGCTTGCGCTCCTCTGCTTGGCTTCCTCTGCTTGTGCTTCCTCTGCTTGCGCTTCCTCTGCTTGCGCTTCCTCTGCTTGCGCTTCCTCTGCTTGCGCTTCCTCTGCTGTGCGCTTCCTCTGCTTGCTTCCTCTGCTTGCGCTTCCTCTGCTTGCGCTTCCTCTGCTTGCGCTTCCTCTGCTTGTGCTTCCTCTGCTTGTGCTTCCTCTGCTTGCGCTTCCTCTGCTTGTGCTTCCTCTGCTTGTGCTTCCTCTGCTTGTGCTTCCTCTGCTTGCGCTTCCTCTGCTTGCGCTTCCTCTGCTTGTGCTTCCTCTGCTTGCGCTTCCTCTGCTTGCTTCCTCTGCTTGTGCTTCCTCTGCTTGCGCTTCCTCTGCTTGCGCTTCCTCTGCTTGCGCTTCCTCTGCTTGTGCTTCCTCTGCTTGCGCTTCCTCTGCTTGCGCTTCCTCTGCTTGCGCTTCCTCTTTTCTGCTTGCGCTTCCTCTGCTTGCGCTTCCTCTGCTTGCGCTTCCTCTGCTTGTGCTTCCTCTGCTTGTGCTTCCTCTGCTTGTGCTTCCTCTGCTTGCGCTTCCTCTGCTTGTGCTTCCTCTGCTTGTGCTTCCTCTGCTTGCGCTTCCTCTGCTTGTGCTTCCTCTGCTTGCGCTTCCTCTGCTTGCGCTTCCTCTGCTTCTGCTTCCTCTGCTTGTGCTTCCTCTGCTTGTGCTTCCTCTACTTGCGCTTCCTCTGCTTGCGCTTCTCTGCTTGTGCTTTCTCTGCTTGTGCTTCCTCTGCTTGTGCTTCCTCTGCTTGCGCTTCCTCTGCTTGTGCTTCCTCTGCTTGCGCTTCCTCTGCTTGTGCTTCCTCTGCTTGCGCTTCCTCTGCTTGCGCTTCCTCTGCTTGTGCTCCTCTGCTTGTGCTTCCTCTGCTTGTGCTTCCTCTGCTTGCGCTTCCTCTGCTTGTGCTTCCTCTGCTTGCGCTTCCTCTGCTTGTGCTTCCTCTGCTTGCGCTTCCTCTGCTTGCGCTTCCTCTGCTTGTGCTTCCTCTGCTTGCTCTTCCTTTGCTTTCGCTTCCTTTGCTTGCGCTCCTCTGCTTGTGCTTCCTCTGCTTGTGCTTCCTCTGCTTGCGCTTCCTCTGCTTGTGCTTCCTCTGCTTGCGCTTCCTCTGCTTGTGCTTCCTCTGCTTGTGCTTCCTCTGCTTGCGCTTCCTCTGCTTGTGCTTCCTCTGCTTGCTTCCTCTGCTTGCTTCCTCTGCTTGCTTCCTCTGCTTGCGCTTCCTCTGCTTGCGCTTCCTCTGCTTGCGCTTCCTCTGCTTGCGCTTCCTCTGCTTGCGCTTCCTCTGCTTGTGCTTCCTCTGCTTGCGCTTCCTCTGCTTGTGCTTCCTCTGCTTGCGCTTCCTCTGCTTGCGCTTCCTCTGCTTGCGCTTCCTCTGCTTGTGCTTCTCTGCTTGTGCTTCCTCTGCTTGTGCTTCCTCTGCTTGCGCTCCTCTGCTTGTGCTTCCTCTGCTTGTGCTTCCTCTGCTTGCGCTTCCTCTGCTGTGCTTCCTCTGCTTGTGCTTCCTCTGCTTGTGCTCCTCTGCTTGCGCTTCCTCTGCTTGCGCTTCCTCTGCTTGTGCTTCCTCTGCTTGCGCTTCCTCTGCTTGCGCTTCCTCTGCTTGTGCTTCCTCTGCTTGCGCTTTCTCTGCTTGTGCTCCTCTGCTTGCGCTTCCTCTGCTTGTGCTTCCTCTGCTTGCGCTTCCTCTGCTTGCGCTTCCTCTGCTTGCGCTTCCTCTGCTTGCGCTTCCTCTGCTTGCGCTTCCTCTGCTTGCGCTTCCTCTGCTTGTGCTTCCTCTGCTTGTGCTTCCTCTGCTTGTGCTTCCTGCTTGCGCTTCCTCTGCTTGTGCTTCCTCTGCTTGTGCTTCCTCTGCTTGCGCTTCCTCTGCTTGTGCTTCCTCTGCTTGCGCTTCCTCTGCTTGCGCTTCCTCTGCTTGTGCTTCCTCTGCTTGTGCTTCCTCTGCTTGTGCTTCCTCTGCTTGCGCTTCCTCTGCTTGCGCTTCCTCTGCTTGTGCTTCTCTGCTTGTGCTTCCTCTGCTTGTGCTTCCTCTGCTTGCGCTTCCTCTGCTTGTGCTCCTCTGCTTGCGCTTCCTCTGCTTGTGCTTCCTCTGCTTGCGCTTCCTCTGCTTGCGCTCCTCTGCTTCGCTTCCTCTGCTTGTGCTTCCTCTGCTTGCGCTTCCTCTGCTTGCTCTTCCTCTGCTTGCGCTCCTCTGCTTGCGCTTCCTCTGCTTGTGCTTCCTCTGCTTGCGCTTCCTCTGCTTGTGCTTCCTCTCCTTGCGCTTCCTCTGCTTGTGCTTCCTCTGCTTGCGCTTTCTGCTTGCGCTTCCTCTGCTTGTGCTTCCTCTGCTTGCTCTTCCTTTGCTTGCGCTTCCTCTGCTTGCGCTCCTCTGCTTGTGCTTCCTCTGCTTGTGCTTCCTCTGCTTGTGCTTCTGCTTGTGCTTCCTCTACTTGCGCTTCCTTTGCTTGTGCTTCCTCTGCTTGTGCTTCCTCTGCTTGCGCTTCCTCTGCTTGTGCTTCCTCTGCTTGCGCTTCCTCTGCTTGCGCTTCCTCTGCTTGCGCTTCCTCTGCTTGCGCTTCCTCTGCTTGCGCTTCCTCTGCTTGCTTCCTCTGCTTGTGCTTCCTCTGCTTGCGCTTCCTCTGCTTGTGCTTCCTCTGCTTGCGCTTCCTCTGCTTGTGCTTCCTCTTCTTGCGCTTCCTCTGCTTGCGCTTCCTCTGCTTGCGCTTTTGCTTGTGCTTCCTCTGCTTGTGCTTCCTCTGCTTGTGCTTCCTCTGCTTGCGCTTCCTCTGCTTGTGCTTCCTCTGCTTACGCTTCTCTGCTTGCGCTTCCTCTGCTTGCGCTTCCTCTGCTTGCGCTTCCTCTGCTTGTTTCCTCTGCTTGCGCTTCCTCTGCTTGCGCTTCCTCTGCTTGTGCTCCTCTGCTTGCGCTTCCTCTGCTTGCGCTCCTCTGCTTGCGCTTCCTCTGCTTGCGCTTCCTCTGCTTGCGCTTCCTTTGCTTGTGCTTCCTCTGCTTGTGCTTCCTCTGCTTGTGCTTCCTCTGCTTGCGCTTCCTCTGCTTGCGCTTCCTCTGCTTGTGCTCCTCTGCTTGTGCTTCCTCTGCTTGTGCTTCCTCTGCTTGCGCTTCCTCTGCTTGTGCTTCCTCTGCTTGCGCTTCCTCTGCTTGCGCTCCTCTGCTTGTGCTTCCTCTGCTTGTGCTTCCTGCTTGTGCTTCCTCTGCTTGCGCTTCCTCTGCTTGCGCTTCCTCTGCTTGCGCTTCCTCTGCTTGCGCTTCCTCTGCTTGCGCTTCCTCTTCTTGCGCTTCCTCTGCTTGCGCTTCCTCTGCTTGTGCTTCCTCTGCTTGCTCTTCCTTTGCTTACGCTTCCTCTGCTTGCGCTCCTCTGCTTGCGCTTCCTCTGCTTGTGCTTCCTCTGCTTGCGCTTCCTCTGCTTGTGCTTCCTCTCTTGCGCTTCCTCTGCTTGTGCTTCCTCTGCTTGTGCTTCCTCTGCTTGCGCTCCTCTGCTTGTGCTTCCTCTGCTTGTGCTTCTGCTTGCGCTTCCTCTGCTTGCGCTTCCTCTGCTTGTGCTTCCTCTGCTTGCGCTTCCTCTGCTTGCGCTTCCTCTTCTTGCGCTTCCTCTGCTTGCGCTTCCTCTGCTTGTGCTTCCTCTGCTTGCGCTTCCTTTGCTTGCGCTTCCTCTGCTTGCGCTTCCTCTGCTTGTGCTTCCTCTGCTTGTGCTTCTCTGCTTGTGCTTCCTCTGCTTGCGCTTCCTCTGCTTGTGCTTCCTCTGCTTGGCTTCCTCTGCTTGCGCTTCTCTGCTTGTGCTTCCTCTGCTTGTGCTTCCTGCTTGTGCTTCCTCTGCTTGCGCTTCCTCTGCTTGCGCTTCCTCTGCTTGCGCTTCCTCTGCTTGCGCTTCCTCTGCTTGCGCTTCCTCCTCTTGCGCTTCCTCTGCTTGCGCTTCCTCTGCTTGTGCTTCCTCTGCTTGCTCTTCTCTGCTTGCGCTTCCTCTGCTTGCGCTTCCTCTGCTTGCGCTTCCTCTGCTTGTGCTTCCTCTGCTTGCGCTTCCTCTGCTTGTGCTTCCTCTGCTTGCGCTTCTCTGCTTGTGCTTCCTCTGCTTGCGCTTCCTCTGCTTGCGCTTCCTCTGCTTGTGCTTCTGCTTGTGCTTCCTCTGCTTGCGCTTCCTCTGCTTGTGCTTCCTCTGCTTGCGCTTCCTCTGCTTGCGCTTCCTCTGCTTGCGCTTCCTCTGCTTGTGCTTCCTCTGCTTGGCTCCTCTGCTTGCGCTTCCTCTGCTTGTGCTTCCTCTGCTTGTGCTTCCTGCTTGTGCTTCCTCTGCTTGCGCTTCCTCTGCTTACGCTTCCTCTGCTTGCGCTTCCTCTGCTTGCGCTTCCTCTGCTTGTGCTTCCTCTGCTTGCGCTTCCTCTGCTTGCGCTTCTCTGCTTCTGCTTCCTCTGCTTGTGCTTCCTGCTTGTGCTTCCTCTGCTTGCGCTTCCTCTGCTTGCGCTTCCTCTGCTTGCGCTTCCTCTGCTTGCGCTTCCTCTGCTTGCGCTTCCTCTGCTGTGCTTCCTCTGCTTGTGCTTCCTCTGCTTGCGCTTCCTCTGCTTGCGCTTCCTCTGCTTGCGCTTCCTCTGCTTGCGCTTCCTCTGCTTGTGCTTCCTCTGCTTATGCTTCCTCTGCTTGTGCTTCCTCTGCTTGCGCTTCCTCTGCTTGTGCTTCCTCTGCTTACGCTTCCTCTGCTTGCGCTTCCTCTGCTTGCGCTTCCTCTGCTTGCGCTTCCTCTGCTTGCGCTTCCTCTGCTTGCACTTCCTCTGCTTGTGCTCCTCTGCTTGCGCTTCCTCTGCTTGCGCTCCTCTGCTTGCGCTTCCTCTGCTTACGCTTCCTCTGCTTGCGCTTCTTTGCTTGTGCTTCCTCTGCTTGTGCTTCCTCTGCTTGTGCTTCCTCTACTTACGCTTCCTCTGCTTGCGCTTCCTCTACTTGTGCTCCTCTGCTTGTGCTTCCTCTGCTTGTGCTTCCTCTGCTTGCGCTTCCTCTTCTTGTGCTTCCTCTGCTCCCGCTTCCTCTGCTTGCGCTCCTCTGCTTCTGCTTTCTCTGCTTGTGCTTCCTGCTTGTGCTTCCTCTGCTTGCGCTTCCTCTGCTTGCGCTTCCTCTGCTTGCGCTTCCTCTGCTTGCGCTTCCTCTGCTTGCGCTTCCTCTTCTTGCGCTTCCTCTGCTTACGCTTCCTCTGCTTGTGCTTCCTCTGCTTGCTCTTCCTTTGCTTACGCTTCCTCTGCTTGCGCTCCTCTGCTTGCGCTTCCTCTGCTTGTGCTTCCTCTGCTTGCGCTTCCTCTGCTTGTGCTTCCTCTCCTTGCGCTTCCTCTGCTTGTGCTTCCTCTGCTTGTGCTTCCTCTGCTTTTGCGCTCCTCTGCTTGTGCTTCCTCTGCTTGTGCTTCCTGCTTGTGCTTCCTCTGCTTGCGCTTCCTCTGCTTGTGCTTCCTCTACTTGCGCTTCCTCTGCTTGCGCTTCCTCTGCTTGCGCTTCCTCTGCTTGCGCTTCTTTGCTTGTGCTTCTCTGCTTGCTCTTCCTTGCTTACGCTTCCTTTCCTGGCTTCCTCTGCTTGCGCTCTCTGCTTGTGCTTCCTCTGCTTGTGCTTCCTCTGCTTGCGCTTCCTCTGCTTGTGCTTCCTCTACTTGCGCTTCCTCTGCTTGTGCTTTCTCTGCTTGGGCTTCCTCTGCTTGCGCTTCTCTGCTTCTGCTTCTCTGCTTGTGCTTCCTGCTTGTGCTTCCTCTGCTTGCGCTTCCTCTGCTTACGCTTTCTCTGCTTGCGCTTCCTCTGCTTGCGCTTCCTCTGCTTGCGCTTCCTCTGCTTGCGCTTCCTCTGCTTACGCTTCCTCTGCTTGTGCTTCCTCTGCTTGCTCTTCCTTTGCTTACGCTTCCTCTGCTTGCGCTCCTTTGCTTGCGCTTCCTCTGCTTGTGCTTCCTCTGCTTGCGCTTCCTCTGCTTATGCTTCCTCTCCTTGCGCTTCCTCTGCTTGTGCTTCCTCTGCTTGCGCTTCCTCTGCTTGCGCTCCTCTGCTTGTGCTTCTTCTGCTTGTGCTTCCTGCTTGTGCTTCCTCTGCTTGCGCTTCCTCTGCTTGTGCTTCCTCTGCTTGCGCTTCCTCTGCTTGCGCTTCCTCTGCTTGCGCTTCCTCTGCTTGTGCTTTCTCTGCTTGGTCCTCTGCTTGCGCTTCTCTGCTTCTGCTTCCTCTGCTTGTGCTTCTGCTTGTGCTTCCTCTGCTTGCGCTTCCTCTGCTTGCGCTTTCTCTGCTTGCGCTTCCTCTGCTTGCGCTTCCTCTGCTTTTGCTTCCTCTGCTTGGGCTTCCTCTGCTTGCGCTTCTCTGCTTCTGCTTCCTCTGCTTGTGCTTCTCTGCTTGTGCTTCCTCTGCTTGCGCTTCCTCTGCTTGCGCTTCCTCTGCTTGCGCTTCCTCTGCTTGCTCTTCCTTTGCTTACGCTTCCTCTGCTTGCGCTTCCTCTGCTTGTGCTTCCTCTGCTTGCGCTTCCTCTGCTTGCGCTTCCTCTGCTTGTGCTTCCTCTACTTGCGCTCCTCTGCTTGTGCTTCCTCTGCTTGCGCTTCCTCTGCTTGCGCTCCTCTGCTTGCGCTTCCTCTACTTGTGCTTCCTCTGCTTGTGCTTCCTCTGCTTGCGCTTCCTCTACTTGCGCTTCCTCTGTCGAATATTATCTTATTGTTTAGCCTGTAGTGGGCTGCTCTGCTATAGCGAGTACAACCCTTCTTGGCTTTGCTATTGTATCTCATTCTTGCTGTTCAATCCTCTTTCTTTCTTTAATTTTGCTTCCTCTGCTTGCGCTTCCTCTGCTTGCGCTTCCTCTGCTTGTGCTCCTCTGCTTGCGCTTCCTCTGCTTGTGCTTCCTCTGCTTGCGCTTCCTCTGCTTGCGCTTCCTCTGCTTGCGCTTCCTCTGCTTGCGCTTCCTCTGCTTGCGCTCCTCTGCTTGTGCTTCTTCTGCTTGTGCTTCTGCTTGTGCTTCTTGCTTGCGCTCCTCTGCTTGTGCTTCCTCTACTTGCGCTTCCTCTGCTTGTGCTTCCTCTGCTTGTGCTTCCTCTGCTTGCGCTTCCTCTGCTTGTGCTTCCTCTGCTTGTGCTTCTCTGCTTGCGCTTCCTCTGCTTGTGCTTCCTCTGCTTGTGCTTCCTCTGCTTGCGCTTCCTCTGCTTGTGCTTCCTCTGCTTGCGCTTCCTCTGCTTGTGCTTCCTCTGCTTGTGCTTCCTCTGCTTGCGCTTCCTCTGCTTGCGCTTCCTCTGCTTGTGCTTCCTCTGCTTGTGCTTCCTCTGCTTGCGCTTCCTCTGCTTGCGCTTCCTCGCTGCTCTTCTTGCTTCCGCCCCCCTGCTCTTGCTTCCTCTGCTTGCGCTTCCTCTGCTTGTGCTTCCTCTGCTTGCGCTTCCTCTGCTTGCGCTTCCTCTGCTTGCGCTTCCTCTGCTTGCGCTTCCTCTGCTTGTGCTTCCTCTGCTTTGCTTCCTCTGCTTGTGCTTCCTCTGCTTGCGCTCCTCTGCTTGTGCTTCCTCTGCTTGCGCTTCCTCTGCTTGCGCTTCCTCTGCTTGCGCTTCTCTGCTTGCGCTTCCTCTGCTTGTGCTCCTCTGCTTGCGCTTCCTCTGCTTGCGCTTCCTCTGCTTGTGCTTCCTCTGCTTGCGCTTCCTCTGCTTGCGCTCCTCTGCTTGCGCTTCCTCTGCTTGCGCTTCCTCTGCTTGCGCTTCCTTGCTTGTGCTTCCTCTGCTTGTGCTTCCTCTGCTTGTGCTTCCTCTGCTTGCGCTTCCTCTGCTTGCGCTTCCTCTGCTTGTGCTCCTCTGCTTGTGCTTCCTCTGCTTGTGCTTCCTCTGCTTGCGCTTCCTCTGCTTGTGCTTCCTCTGCTTGCGCTTCCTCTGCTTGCGCTCCTCTGCTTCTGCTTTCTCTGCTTGTGCTTCTGCTTTTGTGCTTCCTCTGCTTGCGCTTCCTCTGCTTGCGCTTCCTCTGCTTGCGCTTCCTCTGCTTGCGCTTCCTCTGCTTGCGCTTCCTCTTCTTGCGCTTCCTCTGCTTGCGCTTCCTCTGCTTGTGCTTCCTCTGCTTGCTCTTCCTTTGCTTGCGCTTCCTCTGCTTGCGCTCCTCTGCTTGCGCTTCCTCTGCTTGTGCTTCCTCTGCTTGCGCTTCCTCTGCTTGTGCTTCTCTGCTTGCGCTTCCTCTGCTTGTGCTTGCTTGTGCTTTCTCTGCTTGTGCTTCCTCTGCTTGCGCTTCCTCTGCTTGTGCTTCCTCTGCTTGCGCTTCCTCTCTTGCGCTTCCTCTGCTTGCGCTTCCTCTGCTTGCGCTTCCTCTGCTTGTGCTCCTCTGCTTGCGCTTCCTCTGCTTGTGCTTCTCTGCTTGCGCTTCCTCTGCTTGCGCTTCCTCTGCTTGCGCTTCCTCTGCTTGCGCTTCCTCTGCTTGCGCTCCTCTGCTTGTGCTTCCTCTGCTTGTGCTTCCTCTGCTTGTGCTTCCTCTGCTTGTGCTTCCTCTGCTTGCGCTTCCTCTGCTTGTGCTTCCTCTGCTTGCGCTTCCTCTGCTTGGGCTTCCTTTGCTTGTGCTTCCTCTGCTTGCGCTCCTCTGCTTGCGCTTCCTCTGCTTGCGCTTCCTCTGCTTGTGCTTCCTCTGCTTGTGCTTCCTCTACTTGCGCTTCTCTTCTTGTGCTTCCTCTGCTTGTGCTTCCTCTGCTTGCGCTTCCTCTGCTTGCGCTCCTCTGCTTGTGCTTCCTCTGCTTGTGCTTCCTCTGCTTGTGCTTCCTCTGCTTGTGCTTCTCTGCTTGTGCTTCCTCTGCTTGTGCTTCCTCTGCTTGCGCTTCCTCTGCTTGCGCTTCCTCTGCTTGCGCTTCCTCTGCTTGCGCTTCCTCTGCTTGGGCTCCTCTGCTTGTGCTTCCTCTGCTTGTGCTTCCTCTGCTTGCGCTTCCTCTGCTTGTGCTTCCTCTGCTTGTGCTTCCTCTGCTTGCGCTTCCTCTGCTTGCGCTTCCTCTGCTTGCGCTTCCTCTGCTTGTGCTTCCTCTGCTTGCGCTTCCTCTGCTTGCGCTTCCTCTTCTTGCGCTTCCTCTGCTTGCGCTTCCTCTGCTTGTGCTTCCTCTGCTTGCTTTCCTTGCTTACGCTTCCTCTGCTTGCGCTCCTCTGCTTGTGCTTCCTCTGCTTGTGCTTCCTCTGCTTGCGCTTCCTCTGCTTGTGCTTCCTCTGCTTGCGCTTCCTCTGCTGCGCTTCCTCTGCTTGCGCTTCCTCTGCTTGCGCTTCCTCTGCTTGCGCTTCCTCTGCTTGCGCTTCCTCTGCTTGGGCTTCCTCTGCTTGTGCTTCCTCTGCTTGTGCTTCCTCTGCTTGCGCTTCCTCTGCTTGTGCTTCCTCTGCTTGTGCTTCCTCTCTTGCGCTTCCTCTGCTTGTGCTTCCTCTGCTTGCGCTTCCTCTGCTTGCGCTTCCTCTGCTTGTGCTTCCTCTGCTTGTGCTTCCTCTGCTTGTGCTTCCTCTGCTTGCGTTTCCTCTTGCTTAAGCTTCCTCTGCTTGCGCTTCCTCTGCTTGCGCTCCTCTGCTTGTGCTTCCTCTGCTTGTGCTTCCTCTGCTTGCGCTTCCTCTGCTTGTGCTTCCTCTGCTTCGCTTCTTCTGCTTGTGCTTCCTCTGCTTGCGCTTCCTCTGCTTGCGCTCCTCTGCTTGTGCTTCCTCTGCTTGTGCTTCCTCTGCTTGTGCTTCCTCTGCTTGCTTCCTCTGCTTGTGCTTCCTCTACTTGCGCTTCCTCTGCTTGCGCTTCCTCTGCTTGCGCTTCCTCTTCTTGCGCTTCCTCTGCTTGCGCTTCCTCTGCTTGTGCTTCCTCTGCTTGCTCTTCCCTTGCTTGCGCTTCCTCTGCTTGCGCTCCTCTGCTTGTGCTTCTCTGCTTGTGCTTCCTCTGCTTGCGCTTCCTCTGCTTGTGCTTCCTCTACTTGCGCTTCCTCTGCTTGTGCTTCCTCTGCTTGCGCTTCCTCTGCTTGCGCTCCTCTGCTTGTGCTTCCTCTGCTTGTGCTTCTCTGCTTGTGCTTCCTCTGCTTGCGCTTCCTCTGCTTGTGCTTCCTCTGCTTGCGCTTCCTCTGCTTGCGCTTCCTCTGCTTGCGCTTTCTGCTTGTGCTTCCTCTGCTTGCTCTTCCTCTGCTTGTGCTTCCTCTGCTTGCGCTCCTCTGCTTGTGCTTCCTCTGCTTGTGCTTCCTCTGCTTGCGCTTCCTCTGCTTGTGCTTCCTCTGCTTGCGCTTCCTCTGCTTGTGCTTCCTCTGCTTGCGCTTCTCTGCTTGCGCTCCTCTGCTTGTGCTTCCTCTGCTTGCGCTCCTCTGCTTGCGCTTCCTCTGCTTGCGCTTCCTCTGCTTGCGCTTCCTCTGCTTGCGCTTCCTCTGCTTTGCTTCCTCTGCTTGCGCTTCCTCTGCTTGCGCTTCCCTCTGCTTGCGCTCCTCTGCTTGCGCTTCCTCTGCTTGCGCTTCCTCTGCTTGCGCTTCCTCTGCTTGCGCTTCCTCTGCTTGCGCTTCCTCTGCTTGTGCTTCCTCTGCTTGTGCTTCCTGCTTGTGCTTCCTCTGCTTGTGCTTCCTCTGCTTGCGCTTCCTCTGCTTGTGCTTCCTCTCTTGCGCTTCCTCTGCTTGTGCTTCCTCTGCTTGTGCTTCCTCTGCTTGCGCTCCTCTGCTTGTGCTTCCTCTGCTTGTGCTTCCTCTGCTTGTGCTTCCTCTGCTTGCGCTTCCTCTGCTTGTGCTTCCTCTGCTTGCGCTTCCTCTGCTTGCGCTTCCTCTTCTTGCGCTTCCTCTGCTTACGCTTCCTCTGCTTGTGCTTCCTCTGCTTGCTCTTCCTTGCTTGTGCTTCCTCTGCTTGCGCTCCTCTGCTTGTGCTTCCTCTGCTTGTGCTTCCTCTGCTTGCGCTTCCTCTGCTTGTGCTTCCTCTACTTGCGCTTCCTCTGCTTGTGCTTTCTCTGCTTGGGCTTCCTCTGCTTGCGCTTCTCTGCTTTGCTTCCTCTGCTTGTGCTTCCTGCTTGTGCTTCCTCTGCTTGCGCTTCCTCTGCTTACGCTTCCTCTGCTTGCGCTTCCTCTGCTTGCGCTCCTCTGCTTGCGCTTCCTCTGCTTGCGCTTCCTCTGCTTGCGCTTCCTCTGCTTGTGCTTCCTCTGCTTGCTCTTCTTTGCTTGCGCTTCCTCTGCTTGCGCTTCCTTTGCTTGCGCTTCCTCTGCTTGTGCTTCCTCTGCTTGCGCTTCCTCTGCTTGTGCTTCCTCTCTTGCGCTTCCTCTGCTTGTGCTTCCTCTGCTTGCGCTTCCTCTGCTTGCGCTTCCTCTGCTTGTGCTTCTTCTGCTCTGCCTCTGCTTGTGCTTCCTCTGCTTGCGCTTCCTCTGCTTGTGCTTCCTCTGCTTGCGCTTCCTCTGCTTGCGCTTCCTCTGCTTGCGCTTCCTCTGCTTGTGCTTTCTCTGCTTGGGCTTCCTCTGCTTGCGCTTCTCTGCTTGTGCTTCCTCTGCTTGTGCTTCCTGCTTGTGCTTCCTCTGCTTGCGCTTCCTCTGCTTGCGCTTCCTGCTTGTGCTTCCTCTGCTTGTGCTTCCTCTGCTTGCGCTTCTCTGCTTCTGCTTCCTCTACTTGTGCTTCCTGCTTGTGCTTCCTCTGCTTGCGCTTCCTCTGCTTGCGCTTCCTCTGCTTGCGCTTCCTCTGCTTGCGCTTCCTCTGCTTGCGCTTCCTCTGCTTGTGCTTCCTCTGCTTGCGCTTCCTCTGCTTGCGCTTCCTCTGCTTGTGCTTCCTCTGCTTGCGCTTCCTCTGCTTGTGCTTCCTCTGCTTGCGCTTCTCTGCTTGCGCTTCCTCTGCTTGCGCTTCCTCTGCTTGTGCTTCCTCTGCTTGTGCTTCCTCTGCTTGCGCTTCCTCTGCTTGTGCTTCCTCTGTCTGCTTTATCTTCTTGTTCTAGCCTGTAGTGTTGTGCTCTATACGCGGTACCCCTTCTTGGTTTGTCTTGTTTCCTCTTCTTGCTAGTTCCTCCTCTTCTTCTTCGCTTTGCTTCCTCTGCTTGCGCTTCCTCTGCTTGCGCTTCCTCTGCTTGTGCTCCTCTTTGCGCTTCCTCTGCTTGTGCTTCCTCTGCTTGCGCTTCCTCTGCTTGCGCTTCCTCTGCTTGCGCTTCCTCTGCTTGCGCTTCCTCTGCTTGCGCTCCTCTGCTTGTGCTTCCTCTGCTTGTGCTTCTGCTTGTGCTTCCTGCTTGCGCTTCCTCTGCTTGTGCTTCCTCTGCTTGCGCTTCCTCTGCTTGTGCTCCTCCTCTGCTTGTGCTTCTTCTGCTTGCGCTTCCTCTGCTTGTGCTTCCTCTGCTTGCGCTTCCTCTGCTTGCGCTTCCTCTGCTTGCGCTTCCTCTGCTTGCGCTTCCTCTGCTTGTGCTCCTCTGCTTGCGCTTCTCTGCTTGTGCTTCCTCTGCTTGCGCTTCCTCTGCTTGCGCTTCCTCTCCTTGGCTTCCTCTGCTTGCGCTTCCTCTGCTTGCGCTCCTCTGCTTGTGCTTCCTCTCTTGTGCTTCCTCTGCTTGTGCTTCCTCTGCTTGTGCTTCCTCTGCTTGCGCTTCCTCTGCTTGTGTCCTCTGCTTGCGCTTCCTCTGCTTGTGCTCCCTCTGCTTGGCTTCCTCTGCTTGCGCTTCCTCTGCTTGCGCTTCCTCCTCTTGCGCTTCCTCTGCTTGCGCTTCCTCTGCTTGTGCTTCCTCTGCTTGCGCTTCCTCTGCTTGTGCTTCCTCTGCTTGTGCTTCCTCTGCTTGCGCTTCCTCTGCTTGCGCTCCTCTGCTTGTGCTTCCTCTGCTTGTGCTTCCTCTGCTTGCGCTTCTTCTCTTGTGCTTCCTCTGCTTGTGCTTCCTCTGCTTGTGCTTCCTCTGCTTGCGCTTCCTCTGCTTGCGCTTCCTCTGCTTGCGCTTCCTCTGCTTGCGCTTCCTCTGCTTGCGCTCCTCTGCTTGTGCTTCCTCTGCTTGTGCTTCCTCTGCTTGCGCTTCCTCTGCTTGTGCTTCCTCTGCTTGTGCTTCCTCTGCTTGCGCTTCCTCTGCTTGCGCTTCCTCTGCTTGCGCTTCCTCTGCTTGTGCTTCCTCTGCTTGCGCTTCCTCTGCTTGTGCTTCCTCTGCTTGCGCTTCCTCTGCTTGCGCTTCCTCTATTTGCGCTTCCTCTTTTGCGCTTCCTCTGCTTGCGCTTCCTCTGCTTGCGCTTCCTCTGCTTGTGCTTCTCTGCTGTGCTTCCTCTTGCTTGCGCTTCCTCTGCTTGTGCTTCCTCTGCTTGTGCTTCCTCTGCTTGTGCTTCCTCTGCTTGCGCTTCCTCTGCTTGCGCTTCCTCTGCTTGCGCTTCCTCTGCTTGGCTCCTCTGCTTGTCTGTGCTTCCTCTGCTTGTGCTTCCTCTGCTTGCGCTTCCTCTGCTTGTGCTTCCTCTGCTTGTGCTTCCTCTCCTTGCGCTTCCTCTGCTTGTGCTTCCTCTGCTTGCGCTTCCTCTGCTTGCGCTTCCTCTGCTTGTGCTTCCTCTGCTTGTGCTTCCTCTGCTTGTGCTTCCTCTGCTTGCGTTTCCTCTGCTTAAGCTTCCTCTGCTTGCGCTTCCTCTGCTTGCGCTCCTCTGCTTGTGCTTCCTCTGCTTGTGCTTCCTCTGCTTGCGCTTCCTCTGCTTGTGCTTCCTCTGCTTTTGCTTCCTCTGCTTGTGCTTCCTCTGCTTGTGCTTCCTCTGCTTGCGCTCCTCTGCTTGTGCTTCCTCTGCTTGTGCTTCCTGCTTGTGCTTCCTCTGCTTGCGCTTCCTCTGCTTGTGCTTCCTCTGCTTGCGCTTCCTCTGCTTGCGCTTCCTCTGCTTGCGCTTCCTCTTCTTGCGCTTCCTCTGCTTACGCTCCTCTGCTTGTGCTTCCTCTGCTTGCTCTTCCTTTGCTTACGCTTCCTCTTCTTGCGCTCCTCTGCTTGTGCTTCTCTGCTTGTGCTTCCTCTGCTTGCGCTTCCTCTGCTTGTGCTTCCTCTACTTGCGCTTCCTCTGCTTGTGCTTCCTCTGCTTGCGCTCCTCTGCTTGTGCTTCCTCTGCTTGTGCTTCCTGCTTGTGCTTCCTCTACTTGCGCTTCCTCTGCTTGTGCTTCCTCTACTTGCGCTTCCTCTTCTTGCGCTTCCTCTGCTTGCGCTTCTTGCTTGTGCTTCCTCTGCTTGCTCTTCCTTTGCTTACGCTTCCTCTGCTTGCGCTTCTCTGCTTGTGCTTCCTCTGCTTGTGCTTCCTCTGCTTGTGCTTCCTCTGCTTGCGCTTCCTCTGCTTGTGCTTCCTCTGCTTGTGCTTCCTCTGCTTGCGCTTCCTTTGCTTGTGCTTCCTCTGCTTGCGCTTCCTCTGCTTGTGCTTCCTCTGCTTGCGCTTCCTCTGCTTGCGCTCCTCTGCTTGTGCTTCCTCTGCTTGTGCTTCTCTGCTTGTGCTTCCTCTCTTGCGCTTCCTCTGCTTGTGCTTTCTCTGCTTGCGCTTCCTCTGCTTGCGCTTCCTCTGCTTGCGCTTCCTCTTCTTGCGCTTCCTCTGTGCGCTTCCTGCTTGTGCTTCCTCTGCTTGCTCTCCTTTGCTTACGCTTCCTCTGCTTGCGCTCCCTCTGCTTTTTTTTTTTCCTCTGCTTTGCTTCCTTTGCTTGCGTTTCCTCTGCTTGTGCTTCCTCTGCTTGCGCTTCCTCTGCTTGCGCTTCCTCTGCTTGCGTCCTCTGCTTGTGCTTCCTCTGCTTGCGCTTCCTCTGCTTGCGCTTCCTCTGCTTGCGCTTCCTCTGCTTGCGCTTCCTCTGCTTGCGCTTCCTCTGCTTGCGCTTCCTCTGCTTGCGCTTCCTCTGCTTGCGCTTCCTCTGCTTGGCTTCCTCTGCTTGCGCTTCCTCTGCTTGTGCTTCCTCTGCTTGCGCTTCCTCTGCTTGCGCTTCCTCTGCTTGCGCTTCCTCTGCTTGCGCTTCCTCTGCTTGTGCTTCCTCTGCTTGTGCTTCCTCTGCTTGTGCTTCCTCTGCTTCTGCTTCCTCTGCTTGTGCTTCCTCTGCTTTGCTTCCTCTGCTTGTGCTTCCTCTGCTTGTGCTTCCTCTGCTTGTGCTTCCTCTGCTTGTGCTTCCTCTTCTTGTGCTTCCTCTGCTTGCGCTTCCTTTGCTTGCGCTCTCTGCTCCTGCTTCCTCTGCTTGTGCTTCCTGCTTGTGCTTCCTCTGCTTGCGCCCTCTGCGCTTCCTCTGCTTGCGCTTCCTCTGCTTGCGCTTCCTCTGCTTGCGCTTCCTCTGCTTGCGCTTCCTCTGCTTAGCTTCCTCTGCTTGTGCTTCCTCTCTTGCTCTTCCTTGCTTGCGCTTCCTCTGCTTGCGCTCCTCTGCTTGTGCTTCCTCTGCTTGTGCTTCCTTGCTTGCTTCCTCTGCTTGTGCTTCCTCTGCTTGCGCTTCCTCTGCTTGCGCTCCTCTGCTTGTGCTTCCTCTGCTTGTGCTTCCTGCTTGTGCTTCCTCTGCTTGTGCTTCCTCTGCTTGTGCTTCCTCTGCTTGCGCTTCCTCTTCTTGCGCTTCCTTCTGCTTGCGCTTCCTCCTCTTACGCTTCCTCTGCTTGTGCTTCCTCTGCTTGCTCTTCCTTTGCTTACGCTTCCTCTGCTTGTGCTTCCTCTGCTTGTGCTTCCTCTGCTTGTGCTTCCTCTGCTTGTGCTTCCTCTACTTGCGCTTCCTTCTGCTTGTGCTTCCTCTGCTTGTGCTTCCTCTGCTTGCGCTCCTCTGCTTGTGCTTCCTCTGCTTGCGCTTCCTCTGCTTGCGCTTCCTCTGCTTGCGCTTCCTCTACTTGCGCTCCTCTGCTTGTGCTTCCTCTGCTTGTGCTTCCTCTGCTTGCTCTTCCTTTGCTTACGCTTCCTCTGCCTGCGCTCCTCTGCTTATGCTTCCTCTGCTTGTGCTTCCTCTGCTTGCGCTTCCTCTGCTTGTGCTTCCTCTACTTGCGCTTCCTCTGCTTGTGCTTCCTCTGCTTGTGCTTCCTCTACTTGCGCTCCTCTGCTTGTGCTTCCTCTGCTTGCGCTTCCTCTGCTTGCGCTTCCTCTGCTTGCGCTTCTTCTGCTTGGGCTCCTCTGCTTGTGCTTCCTCTGCTTGTGCTTCCTCTGCTTGTGCTTCCTCTGCTTGTGCTTCCTCTGCTTGTGCTTCCTCTGCTTGTGCTTCCTCTGCTTGTGCTTCCTCTGCTTGCGCTTCCTCTGCTTGTGCTTCCTCTGCTTGCGCTTCCTCTGCTTGCGCTCCTCTGCTTGCGCTTCCTCTGCTTGTGCTTCCTGCTTGTGCTTCCTCTGCTTGCGCTTCCTCTGCTTGCGCTTCCTCTGCTTGTGCTTCCTCTGCTTGTGCTTCCTCTGCTTGCGCTTCCTCTGCTTGCGCTCCTCTGCTTGTGCTTCCTCTGCTTGCGCTTCCTCTGCTTGCGCTTCCTCTGCTTGCGCTTCCTCTGCTTGCGCTTCCTCTGCTTGCGCTTCCTCTGCTTGCGCTTCCTCTGCTTGCGCTTCCTCTGCTTGCGCTTCCTCTTCTTGCGCTCCTCTGCTTGCGCTTCCTCTGCTTGCGCTTCCTCTGCTTGCGCTTTCTCTGCTTGGGCTCTCTGCTTGTGCTTCCTCTGCTTGTGCTTCCTCTGCTTGTGCTTCCTCTGCTTGTGCTTCCTCTGCTTGTGCTTCCTCTGCTTGTGCTTCCTCTGCTTGCGCTTCCTCTGCTTGCGCTTCCTCTGCTTGCGCTTCCTCTGCTTGCGCTTCCTCTGCTTCGCTTCCTCTGCTTGTGCTTCCTCTGCTTGTGCTTCCTCTGCTTGTGCTTCCTCTGCTTGTGCTCCTCTGCTTGTGCTTCCTCTGCTTGTGCTTCCTCTGCTTGCGCTTCCTTTGCTTGCGCTTCCTCTGCTTGTGCTTCCTCTGCTTGTGCTTCTGCTTGTGCTTCCTCTGCTTGCGCTTCCCTCTGCGCTTCCTCTGCTTGCGCTTCCTTCTTGCGCTTCCTCTGCTTGTGCTTCCTCTGCTTGTGCTTCCTCTGCTTGCGCTTCCTCTGCTTGTGCTTCCTTTGCTTTGCTTCCTCTGCTTGCGCTTCCTCTGCTTGCGCTTCCTCTGCTTGGGCTCCTTGCTTGTGCTTCCTCTGCTTGTGCTTCCTCTGCTTGTGCTTCCTCTGCTTGTGCTTCCTCTGCTTGTGCTTCCTCTGCTTGTGCTTCCTCTGCTTGTGCTTCCTCTGCTTGCGCTTCCTCTGCTTGTGCTTCCTCTGCTTGCGCTTCCTCTGCTTGCGCTCCTCTGCTCCTGCTTCCTCTGCTTGTGCTTCCTGCTTGTGCTTCCTCTGCTTGCGCTTCCTCTGCTTGCGCTTCCTCTGCTTGCGCTTCCTCTGCTTGCGCTTCCTCTGCTTGCGCTTCCTCTGCTTGCGCTTCCTCTGCTTGTGCTTCTCTGCTTGTGCTTCTCTGCTTGCGCTTCCTTTGCTTGCTTCCTCTGCTTGCGCTCCTCTGCTTGTGCTTCCTTTCTTGCGCTTCCTCTGCTTTTGCTTCCTCTGCTTGCGCTTCCTCTGCTTGCGCTCCTCTGCTTGTGCTTCCTCTGCTTGTGCTTCCCTGCTTGTGCTTCCTCTACTTGTGCTTCCTCTGCTTTGTGCTTCCTCGCTTGCGCTTCCTCTGCTTGCGCTTCCTTTGCTTGCGCTTCCTCTCTTGCGCTTCCTCTGCTTATGCTTCCTCTGCTTGTGCTTCCTCTGCTTGCTCTTCCTTTGCTTACGCTTCCTCTGCTGCGCTCCTCTGCTTGTGCTTCCTCTGCTTGTGCTTCCTCTACTTGCGCTTCCTCTGCTTGTGCTTCCTCTACTTGCGCTTCTTCTGCTTGTGCTTCCTCTGCTTGTGCTTCCTCTGCTTGCGCTCCTCTGCTTGTGCTTCCTCTGCTTGCGCTTCCTCTGCTTGCGCTTCCTCTGCTTCGCTTCCTCTACTTGCGCTCCTCTGCTTGTGCTTCCTCTGCTTGTGCTTCCTCTGCTTGCTCTTCTTTTGCTTACGCTTCCTCTCTCCTTGCGCTCCTCTGCTTATGCTTCCTCTGCTTGTGCTTCCTCTGCTTGCGCTTCCTCTGCTTGTGCTTCCTCTACTTGCACTTCCTCTGCTTGTGCTTCCTCTGCTTGTGCTTCCTCTGCTTGCGCTCCTCTGCTTGTGCTTCCTCTGCTTGTGCTTCCTCTGCTTGTGCTTCCTCTGCTTGTGCTTCCTCTGCTTGCGCTTCCTCTGCTTCGCTTCCTCTGCTTGTGACTCCTCTGCTTGCGCTTCCTCTGCTTGCGCTTCCTCTGCTTGCGCTTCCTCTGCTTGGGCTTCCTCTGCTTGCGCTTCCTCTGCTTGCGCTTCCTCTGCTTGCGCTTCCTCTGCTTGCGCTCCTCTGCTTGTGCTTCTCTGCTTGTGCTTCCTCTGCTTGCGCTTCCTCTGCTTGTGCTTCCTCTGCTTGCGCTTCCTCTGCTTGTGCTTCCTCTGCTTGCGCTTCCTCTGCTTGTTTCTCTTCTTGTGCTTCCTCTCTTGCGCTTCCTCTGCTTGTGCTTCCTCTGCTTGCGCTTCCTCTGCTTGCGCTTCTCTTCTTGCGCTTCCTCTGCTTGTGCTTCCTCTGCTTGTGCTTCCTCTGCTTGTGCTTCCTCTGCTTGCGCTTCCTCTGCTTGTGCTTCCTCTGCTTGCGCTTCCTTGCTTGTTTCCTCTGCTTGTGCTTCCTTCGTTGCGCTTCCTCTCTTTTGCTTCCTCTGCTTGTGCTTCCTCTGCTTGTGCTTCTCTGCTTGTGCTTCCTCTGCTTGTGCTTCCTCTGCTTGTGCTTCCTCTGCTTGCGCTTCCTCTGCTTGCGCTTCCTCTGCTTGCGCTTCCTCCTCTTGCGCTTCCTCTGCTTACGCTTCCTCTGCTTGTGCTTCCTCTGCTTGCTCTTCCTTGCTTACGTCCCTGCTTGCGCTCCTCTGCTTGTGCTTCCTCTGCTTGTGCTTCCTCTGCTTGCGCTTCCTCTGCTTGTGCTTCCTCTGCTTGCGCTTCCTCTGCTTGCATGCTTCCTCTGCTTGTGCTTCCTCTTCTTGCGCTTCCTCTGCTTGCGCTTCCTCTGCTTGCGCTCCTTGCTTGTGCTTCCTCTGCTTGTGCTTCCTCTGCTTGCGCTTCCTCTGCTTGTGCTTCCTCTGCTTGCGCTTCCTTGCTTGTTCTTCCTCTGCTTGTGCTTCCTTTCGTTGCATTCCTCTGCTTGTGCTTCCTCTGCTTGCGCTTCTTCTGCTTGCGCTCCTCTGCTTGTGCTTCCTCTGCTTGTGCTTCCTCTGCTGTGCTTCCTCTGCTTGTGCTTCCTCTGCTTGCGCTTCCTCTGCTTGCGCTTCCTCTGCTTGTGCTTCCTCTGCTTGCGCTTCCTCTGCTTGTGCTTCCTCTTTTGCGCTTCCTCTGCTTGCGCTTCCTCTGCTTGCGCTTCCTCTGCTTGTGCTTCCTCTGCTTGTGCTTCCTCTGCTTGTGCTTCCTCTGCTTGCGCTTCCTCTGCTTGTGCTTCCTCTGCTTGCGCTTCCTCTGCTTGCGCTTCCTCTGCTTGCGCTTCCTCTGCTTGCGCTTCCTCTGCTTGTGCTTCCTCTGCTTGCGCTTCCTCTGCTTGCGCTTCCTCTGCTTGTGCTCCTCTGCTTGCGCTTCCTCTGCTTGCGCTCCTCTGCTTGCGCTTCCTCTGCTTACGCTTCCTCTACTTGCGCTTCCTCTGCTTGTGCTTCCTCTGCTTGTGCTTCCTCTGCTTGTGCTTCCGCTGCTTCCGCTACGCTTCCTCTGCTTGCGCTTCCTCTGCTTGTGCTCCTCTGCTTGTGCTTCCTCTGCTTGTGCTTCCTCTGCTTGCGCTTCCTCTGCTTGTGCTTCCTCTGCTTGCGCTTCCTCTGCTTGCGCTCCTCTGCTCTGCTTTTCTCTGCTTGTGCTTCCTGCTTGTGCTTCCTCTGCTTGCGCTTCCTCTGCTTGCGCTTCCTCTGCTTGCGCTTCCTCTGCTTGCGCTTCCTCTGCTTGCGCTTCCTCTTCTTGCGCTTCCTCTGCTTGCGCTTCCTCTGCTTGTGCTTCCTGCTGCTCTTCCTTGCTTACGCTTCCTCTGTGCGCTCCTCTGCTTGCGCTTCCTCTGCTTGTGCTTCCTCTGCTTGCGCTTCCTCGCTTGTGCTTCCTCTCCTTGCGCTTCTCTGCTTGTGCTTCCTCTGCTTGTGCTTCTCTGCTTGCGCTTCCTCTGCTTGTGCTTCCTCTGCTTGTGCTTCCTGCTTGTGCTTCCTCTGCTTGCGCTTCCTCTGCTTGTGCTTCCTCTACTTGCGCTTCCTCTGCTTGCGCTTCCTCTTCTTGCGCTTCCTCTGCTTACGCTTCTTCTGCTTGTGCTTCTCTGCTTGCTCTTCTTTGCTTACGCTTCCTCTGCTTGCGCTCCTCTGCTTGTGCTTCCTCTGCTTGTGCTTCCTCTGCTTGCGCTTCCTCTGCTTGTGCTTCCTCTGCTTGCGCTTCCTCTGCTTGTGCTTCTCTGCTTGGCTTCCTCTGCTTGCGCTCTCTGCTTCGCTTCCTCACTTGTGCTTCCTGCTTGTGCTTCCTCTGCTTGCGCTTCCTCTGCTTACGCCTTTCTGCTTGCGCTTCTCTGCTTGCGCTTCCTCTGCTTGCGCTTCCTCTTCTTGCGCTTCCTCTGCTTGCGCTTCCTCTGCTTGTGCTTCCTCTGCTTGCTCTCCTTTGCTTACGCTTCCTCTGCTTGCGCTCCTTTGCTTGCGCTTCCTCTGCTTGTGCTTCCTCTGCTTGCGCTTCCTCTGCTTGTGCTTCCTCTCTTGCGCTTCCTCTGCTTGTGCTTCCTCTGCTTGCGCTTCCTCTGCTTGCGCTCCTCTGCTTGTGCTTCTCTGCCTGTGCTTCTGCTTGTGCTTCCTCTGCTTGCGCTTCCTCTGCTTGTGCTTCCTCTACTTGCGCTTCCTCTGCTTGCGCTTCCTCTCTTGCGCTTCCTCTGCTTGTGCTTTCTCTGCTTGGGCTTCCTCTGCTTGCGCTTCTCTGCTTCGCTCCTCCACTTGTGCTTCCTGCTTGTGCTTCCTCTGCTTGCGCTTCCTCTGCTTGCGCTTTCTCTGCTTGCGCTTCCTCTGCTTGCGCTTCCTCTGCTTGTGCTTTCTCTGCTTGGGCTTCCTCTGCTTGCGCTTCTCTGCTTCTGCTTCCTCTACTTGTGCTTCCTGCTTGTGCTTCCTCTGCTTGCGCTTCCTCTGCTTGCGCTTCTCTGCTTGCGCTTCCTCTGCTTCCTCTTCCTTTGCTTACGCTTCCTCTGCTTGCGCTTCCTCTGCTTGTGCTTCCTCTGCTTGCGCTTCTCTGCTTGCGCTTCCTCTGCTTGTGCTTCCTCTGCTTGCGCTCCTCTGCTTGTGCTTCCTCTGCTTGCGCTTCCTCTGCTTGCGCTTCCTCTGCTTGCGCTCCTCTGCTTGTGCTTCCTCTGCTTGTGCTTCCTCTGCTTGCGCTTCCTCTGCTTGCGCTTCCTCTGTCAGCTATT